GCAATGCTCTGCGGCAATGTTCAGTTCGCCAGAACCAGATTCTGACCGTTCTCCTCTGTTCCATAAAATCGGAATAATCTGAATAAGTTGTGCCGGAAAGGCGGGCATAAATCAAACTTTCAAGTGGCTCCTTGAATATATCTCGTCGAATCAAATCAAATAACCGATAACAAAATCGTACAACAGAGAACTCCTCTCCCGAATAAATTTCCAATGTTACAACCGAATCTTCCCATCTTGCCGCATCTCCGCGAGACTAAAAATTCAATCTCCCGTCCTTTTTTTCGCGAGACAACGCGTGAATGTCGAATGCTCGCAGCATTTATTCGTATCCTCGATGTGCGTCTTATCCAACGATAAATACCAAGTTAAAGGATCCGAAATTCACAGTGAGAGGTCGGGAATAAATTCCACAGCATTACCGGGGTATAAATAACGTTTGTTTCTCGCTTCTTCGAGCAACGGAAGAGCCCTATTCATTTACATCCGCAGCCAGAAACAGCATCGTACGGTTTCCTTCCCCGACGGTGCCAAGAATCCAGAAAAAGCACAGGAAACGTAGCGAAAGACAAACGAGTTTTTCGTCTGTCAGAGTTCCTGGCAGCCAAGGCGATTCTGACCTATCCGTGCTGCCGCGTCGTGGTCAAAGTTCGTTTTTTTATATTTCCCAACCTCCGTTTCTTCTTGCCCGAAGATGAACGTGCAGTGACGTTGAAGTCACCGTCTCGTTAAACTTCCAAGACTTTGTCCGCGTACTGCTTGGAAATTCGAAAAAACCCGGTAAACGAGGAAAAAGGGATGGAACACCTTGGACCCTTTGCCAGATAGCGCGAGAATGAGAGCAATAGGGAGGGACAAGGTCGGGAAGGAACATCAAAGAATTTTTCGTCGAGAAATTTCATTTATCCCCTGCTGTTCGTCCCGACTCACATCGGTTATTGATTTAAGTCCGAAATCGCGACGAGGGGGCAGCACGTGTCTTCGCAGGTGGAAAATAATTTACCTCTCTGTCGAATAACGTGAGATTCGATAGAGAGCAGTATGGGGGCGGGGGAGCTATATTTTAGTGTAAAATTGTGATTTTGACCTCCCATGTTTGGCTCCTTTGCATCCAAGGAACTTCATTTGTATTCAATTTCGTGAGTCAGGGATTGGATGAAAGAACGCTCGACTTTGAAATTCGATTGGTATTTAATTAGAACGTTTAGCAAGATCAATTTTCAATTAGGTCTCTTTCCTTCTTCTACGTAAATCAAGGAGATCGTTTGAGAGGGATGGAACGAGGTGTATACCTAGGTTCCTTCTCTACCACGTAGATGATGTCATTACTGTTTGTAACTCGACGGCGAAGGAAAAAACACACGACTTTGAGGTATGATTCTCTTTCAGTCCGAGACGTTTAACGAGACTAAGTTGCAATTAAATCCCTCCCTCTTTTGAACTTTAATCCAAAGTCCCAGACATGGGATTCAAGGGTGATGGAATAGGGTACGAACAGCGATTGTTCTTTTGAAAAGAACGGAATGAAATGGAAATGGAAGTGACGAGGAACGTTCCACGAATAATCGCAAGTAATTAATGAGAGTATGTAAGGTCAGAGGTGCTAAGAATAATGAAAAGTTCTAACTAGATGGCGAATATGCAAAGAATGCGGGGGACAAGGATTCGAACATGGCTGTCGAATGATTTCCGTGAACTCTTTGAAAGAAGTGAGAACAAACGATAAGATCCAATTATCGAAAAACAGTTTATCACGCGAACGAGCTAAAGGATAAGCCGGCGACCAACCCTCCAGTACTTTCCTTCGAAATGGACTTGAATTCGTGAAACGTCCGACTGTCGCCGTGTGCGACATTGAGAAGCAAGATGAAGCACCGATTGTTAACTTTGTGATATACGATGCGAGGATCTTGACGAAAATTGCATTAAAACGAGTATTAGCCGAGGTTGGAAACAGGTAAATGTCTAAGAGCTGATTAGAAGTATTGCTGGATCATTAAAATAACAGCGAGTTCGTGAAAAGCCAAAAAATAAAATTAAAATATCATGATGTTCTCGAGATACATTGATCGAGGTGATATAATTACGAAGTTCTCGGAAATCGTCTGTTAGTAAGGTCAAGGAGGTTGATCAGATTCACGAGTTACCGACACTTCCGCTGTTCTAAGCTAGATTAGCTATAGAGCATTCCTTAAGTTGTTACATCAACTGCTGTTCAGGCATTTAGTATTATCAGATTCGGTAATCAATATTGGCAGATGTTTGGAATTGCGTTTGCGATTTAACATCGAGTACGTTTAACAGGAGCAATCACGATAATTCTCTTTAGATTAAGAGAAAAGTTACGATGAATTTCGTTGATACAATTTCGTTAAGCAGCACGAGATTTAGCATATCTAATATTCCCCGCTGGTAGCGCACACGCGAAAGAGCTTAAGGTCAATTTAAGTCTGGCCTAACACTATCACAGACGCCGATCCGGCGGTAAACCAAACGCTAAACCGAGCTTAAGTTTTGTTCGACCATTCTATAATCCGCTCTAATAGACAATGTTTGTTCCGACCCAATCATTCGTATAATGCTATTTTCGAACGCTGGAACCGAGGAAATTATTTACTGCGTCCATCCGAGTTCCTGTTAGCGTTTCCGAATAGTACCGAATTAATTAATATTCCTGCGGAATCGTGTTATGTCTCGATACAAAATCGATCCGAATTAACGTAAGAAAAAAAGGAAATCGGATTGTATAACTCTGATAATGGGGAGAACATAATCGATGATGGATATGCTACTACGTATTTTTCAGGAACAATCTGTAGCGACCATCATTCACACCCTCGCCATTAGATGGATCCCAATTTCGAAGACATTCTTGCAAATCCTCGAAAAATCTCCACTATATATTTACTATATATATAATTTTCCGACCTTCCAATAGTATCCCTGGTCTAAGGCAGGGTCTGCTAGGGTAGCCTTACTGATGAGTCCACTAGTAGGCCCTGGACGAAACGCAACCCTTCTTTTTCCTATCCCCAACGAGGATACTTGCAACCTGCCTGACATTAACAAACCGTAGGGGAGGACCCCATATAAATCTAATACATAATTTCTGTGTTTTCGATCTCATATCGAGTTACTTCTTCACTAGTTGCCTGTCCATGAACGATCACACTCGTTGTGGTCAATCAACAGTCATGACTTTGTCCAAAACTATTAGTATCGACTCTCTGACTATTGTGGATCTTCCTGAAGATTTTTATCAAATTACAGCTACTTGCATAAATAAAGTTTGCCACGAATCGCTAATAAAAATTAGCCTATCCCCCATGAGCTTCCCACTGTGTTGAAATTGTCAATTAAAAAGGCTTGTACATATGTAGGAGTAATCATACAAGAGGAACGCTGGATGGGATTTTAAACAGGACAGTGTCACGCCCGGAAAATTAAAACTTTCCATTCGTTTGAGTTGGCATGACATTGTGCGTGTGTTAGGCCCCTTCGCCTCCATGGTGCGAGCTTTGTAGAAGCGGAAGGGCTAGTCACGAATACGTGGTTTTGCGCGAAATCGGTGATATCGCACGGAACAAATATAAAAATAATGTTCGGTTTGGGAATTTGGAAAATATCCGATATTTCATACCGGAACGTAACAACAAATTCGAATATGCCTCGTCATGAAAATAATCTCTGAATTACTAAAATATCCCAAAACTCTGACTCTAAAATATCCTAATACTCCAGAAACTCGAGGACAGCCTATGTTCGAGTCATGGAAGTGATTTGTAAAGTTAGGGATGCGAAAATGTGACACGAGTACACGCAAACTACTCCCAACTTGCAGTACAAAGCATCCAGCAGGATTTAGACCAGTTCCTAGACAAAGCACAAGGTAGCAATATCAATTAATGCAATAGACTCGGAACCAAAGCATCATTTTACGCTCTTCGATCCATAAGATGCTGACCAAGTACTCGGAATCCTCGATTCCTCGAGTTCCTGTAAATTTGCTTTTGCCCTGTCGTCTTGAATACGCAAACCTTTAACTTCTGATCGATTTTGCAACTTCGCTGTGCGAAGGCTAGCGTGTCGTGCAATTGCTTCCCGTGATTGATGGCCTGTCGAAAAATCCGGCGAGATCTAAATCATAAATCGTCACGGAATCCGATAAATGATCACGAGGTAATTGTCGAAGCCGGTAGCCACGAGCCGAGCTATTTTTCGCCATTATTAATGACCGGCCGAGATTTTCTTTCCTCCTCGTCGCCGGTCAGAGTAAAGACAGAGTTAGCCAGCTTATTGCGTTTTATTAATTGCCTCGACCTAGTTAGTAATCCCGACCGAGCTCGATAAATAAGCTAACGAGCAGCGAAGACGATCTGTATCCGCAGACAACTTCCAAGCCGCAAGATAGCTAGTTTTATTTTCCTCGCCAATTCCTTAACCCCTTTTAAAATCGGCATCGGAGATAAGGAAGAAATGTATTCGTTAAGGAAACTCCGGGCAGATCGTGTTCGTTAAGGTGGATAAAAAGCCAGCTGTGCAAGAGAGTTTTCTTCCGGTTCTTTTTTCACGGGAAACGTTTGAACCAGATTCGTGTAAAATTGCAAAAATAATTATTTCATACAAGTTCTGTTATTCCCATTGTTTGAAGATTTCATCTGAATAGAGTCTTTCCTGTATCGTGCTTCCTCCGGCACGTAAAATTATTTCACTAGCACTAGGGGAAAAATTGTCTAGTTGTTACGTGCATGAATAATTAATTACACTATGGGATATGTTGATAGAGAAGTTTTAATTTTGCAATCAACATGTTAAGCAATTGACGAATGTGTTCTAGTTACATGTATGTGTATTCGTGTAACTTTTCTGAAATTTTCTTTGGAATGAATACGATTTTGTTGGCACGCTCATTATTAATTTGGATAAAATATTAGTGCTGCTATCATCCTGTTTTAATATAATATTTATCGTGTGTGATTAACATTTTTCTCTTGTTTCAGGACGAGAAGAACCAATTGCTCATCACGAATCTCTGGTTGAAACTGGTGAGTCTTTCAATTTTTCTACGCAGTAAATGACATCGATAAATAATTTCAACGAAGATCAACGAATAATTATAAGCAGTCTTCGTAAAATGTCGACGTGTTTAATTAGAAAATATGAAGAAAATTCCATAATGAAATCAAAATAATTCGATCACACGCTGTATTTGTATATAAATGTTTTCCTTTCGTTGTGATGGTATCTCTCATTACTCGAAAGCAACAATGAACACAACTGGAGCAGTGAAATTAATTAGTAGCAAAATATCTCTATTTTAATAACGAATACTTCGCGTGACAAGAAAAATACACCAGGAAATAATTTAACTTGATCAACGACACGGTAATTTGCCTGCAGAAAATAGCTTCCAATCTTACTAGCTTATCAGTAAAGGATTGTCCAATTCTCAGAATGTCCTAATCCACTGTTACTATCTGCGTAGACCGCAGGACTCTAGTTTCTACCCTAGTCGGTATAGTTGCCAGGAACGTTAGTTCCATAGGTGGTTTCATAGGAATCCCTAGGACTCGATGAAAGGAATATCACGTAGCATTATTTTGAGGTTCGAATCGTGGTCATAACAGATTCTTATCAACTGGAACTATTAATAGAGTCACGGGCAACAGGTACTCTCGGTAGAGTGGCTGAAGTGGCGCACCCTTATTAGGGTAGACTGCCGTAATATTTCCTTTCAGGAGGTTTCGAACCGCACTTTAAAACGCTTGTCGTTGCTCATTTCCAACGGCTTATGCCTCGTCAATCCTCGCCCTCATCCACAACCTCTATCAAGCTGCGCCATGAACGGCTTTGCGATGACCCAAATTCGCAGTTAACGATTCGACGATGATGTTTTGCCCGATTGACAAATCGACCGGCCATTCCCGACCTATGTTAACAATTAAAACGGAACAGAAGCAGCGTTGCATGCTGGAATCCCCTGCCGTTGATTGTCGTTCGACGATTCGGAGATTAATATTTGAGATGATCTGGGACGTTGATAAATTGAACGAATGATTACAAATGGGACGATGATTTCGAGATCATCGGACGTGAGATGTTCTGCCGATGAGATCACGACTGAATAGATGATCGTAATAGATCGCAATTGACGATGGTATCTGGGATAATGCGGATAGCGTCGAATTTCGAAATTTCTTTAGCTTTCTGTTCATTAAAATAATTGGACAACTGATAAACTCGTTCGATATTAACCCTCGATTATGCTATTAGAGACAGAGATCGATAATGCGTGATTTGTCATTTTCCACCGTTTTCATTAATAAAGATGAGAAGTGAGTATTATATGAATAAATTTACAAGTAATTTGAAATCGTTCACTTTCGGAATAAAACTTTTGACTTCGTAAAGCTTTTCAGTGTCCGAAAGCGCGCTGGAAATAATGGCCGATGGAATGAGAAAAATTGTGCCATTAATATAACGCCGGTTTCCAAGAACTGAAATATCGCAATTTTCAGAAGTCTTTGGAAAATTTTGAACGAATGGAGCATGTCGACTGAAAGACTGTTAAAAGCCAAATTGATATCCAATGCAAAATTCAGGTTCATGGGACAAATATAGATAATTGCTAGCAAAATCCCGTCTAAAACCTAATTGTAATTTACTCACGCGAATCAATGGAATAGCGTAACAGATTTGAACGATTGCAAACGGAATCGAACTATTTTACTTTGCTTATCCTACTTGATTAAAATGGTGACCCGTGTTATAGCTTACACGTGGAAATCGTAATCGTTCAGTAATTCCATTACGCGAAATAACATTAACCTCGACACCTCAAATAAAATAAAATACCGCAAAACACGAGATCTGGCTCTTTTGAAAATTAATTCCTTGTTCTCTTCTCGGTATTTCTTTCATTTTTAAGGATAATCTCGTCTTATGGCAACTCTACTTTCAACCCCTCGCGTTACACGTGGCTTTTCTCCTTTAGCTGAAGAAAACGCAATATATGAACAACCGAAAAGTATTTACTCGTCGCTTCTTTAACCTTTTTCGTCTACCCTTGGATGTCAAGTGCACGTAGCAAGGGAGAGCCTAACGCACAGCTGCACTTGACTTGCAGCGCCTGATATCTTTCTGAATATAAGTCGTTGAGATATTCAACAACTCCGAGATAAGACCCGGAGATATTCAAGATATGTTTGACGTTTTCACGTATCGAAACCACGTCCTACATATTTGCTGATAGCATTTCTATCAAATACAATTGTACTTCAGTAAAGAAGAACTGGACGATCGAGAGCGAATATTCCTCTGCGAATATGTAACTCGATGTCTTTGAAATTTGTGTCGGAGAATTTTCTACCAAGTTTCGTTAAGATGAAAATGGAGGAGGAAATATGAAAATTTTTGAAGAATTTATGGAACTGATGTCGATTCGTGACATTTTTAATACGAAAGATAAAGGCCTCCTTATAATATGATAAAATAAATGGATACATCCGATTATTGGATCTACATTGTTTGCTCTACACTTTAATTATTATTTTTCAGAACGAAAATAAAACAAGCATAAAACGTTCCGTTTCCTACCTTCCCGGGGAAAAATGGAATACCGTAATGTGATAAATTCTACGAGTGCGTGTAATTAATGGAAGGCTTTTAATAAACGAAACTAAATACTTTGATATTAAAAACGGGAAGCAATGTTTTGCAGAAAGGTTTACACATTAATGAAATTAATTTTCTTTCAGCTGAATGCAAATGAATTGCAACTTATAGGAGATGACAATGATGAAATTTAAAAGACAAAAATAGAAATCAATGAATGGCTCTTGTACTGCAAATCATAATTATTTTATTTAATTTGCTCAAAGAATTATTCAAATTTATGGGAAGCACGAGGAAGAATTAATCCATTTCCAAAATATATAAAAAAGCTTTTTCGCTAACGAGAAAAGAAGAGAACATTTTTGCAGTATGTTACTATACTTTTAGAGAAATGGAATGATCCTGTGAGTAATGCAGAAAGTGTTAAGTACGGTATTATTCAGTTCCTCTTAAAATTCTCTTAATTTCCGCTGGACCTATGTGATCTATTATTACAATGCATTTGCATAGTTTTCATTGAGATCATAGGATAGAGAATGCAAAGGTACATAGCATATTCCTGTGTTCCTACCATACTGGCATGCGAGAAATACGTATTAAGCGAACATGCACCAAGTGTCCCGTAATTTGCATATGTGCAAGGGATTCCATGTCAGCTCGTTGTACATTGATTAGTTATTAAAGACTCGAATGCATTACAGCATACCTACTAAGCCGTATTTATACCGTAATTATTGAGTTAGACAACCATATACTAATAGAAGGTAAGCACGTTCTGGAATTCGCTAAGAGAAGCTAAAAGCGATTAAGAAATAGTTCCGAGACACGATGGATAATAATCGAGGAATTAGATGTGCGAAAACTTTTAATCGTGAACATTATTTAATTTCGATAAATTTGTTCCCTGCGAACTAATCGAATTATTAATACATTTTAATAAATTTTCGCTTGGTAAAATTTTGAGGTTATAATTTCTAGGAAAATTTAAGAAAGTTAATGCGAATTGATAAAGCAACTTCTATGATTCAAATGACTACCACGATAATGAATTTCATATTTCAAAGAATAAACTCACATAATATAATTATGTTTCAGAGAGAAAACAAAGTTTAATTTTTATCAACTGTGTCTTTTATGATATTTGATAGTATCGGATAGCTAGTATTCTATTTCAGAAGCATTATATTTTAATGAGGGACAAAAATAGAGAGAGAAAAATATGAACTATATATTCTGGATCAGAAAAAGAATTCAAAGTATAACTGAATTTTATTTGAATACTTTATGCTACAATTTTGAAAGGAATAAATTAATATTTTTATAAAAGAGAAATAAACAAATAATGTCGGTTTTTAAATTGATATACCTTTGCACGAGCAAATGAAATTTTAACAAATATTAAAATATACCTTTAAAATACATTATATTTCCCTTTTATTTTAAAATAAAAGGTTAATATTTTTCCTTTTTCAATACACCTACAATTAATGTATAAAGTCGTTTATCAACTGGCCAACAAACGTGAATAAATTTAATACCTTTGTGCTCTGTACACTTTCCAAAATATTTAAAAAATACAATTCGCGTTCCTTGAAACATAATTTCTATATGAATCTACATAACCTCATCTAACATTATTTTATACGTAATATAAATATTAATAAATTTGGAAATTTATGATACAACAATGTTTTGAGTGATACTAATAACCACACTATATAACGAGGAATCGTATAAAACACATGCTTTACATCATTGAAATTCATGAAAAAATAATATAAATTGTACGTAAATGATTGACGACTTACCAACAGGCCATTCCAGTCGGTAAATAGTTCAGCATATTATCTTCCTGTCTCCAATTCTATCACTTGTTCCCTCTTCTTCCTTTTCCTCTGTCGCAAAACCTACTCGAAAATATTCTCACAGCACAGACACTATTTAAACTGAAATATAAATTTGTAACGTGTGAGACTCGCACGACACGATGCTTCGCAGTAGATACGCAGCGGACGAATGAAAATATGCCGAATCGGACGCCTCGACCGTATTTGTTGATACAAGAACGTCTGCGTGACGTAGTATACCTCGGAGTTAATGAAGCGTGCCTGTAGTCCTTGAAATTCCAGCTGCTTCGCGTTCGGGCACAGTTTTTGCCTCTGTTTTGATCGATGCTTCTACGCAGACCTGCCTAAACTCGCCAACGAAAAGCGCGGGAATTGACAATGGCTGCCGTTTAGTGCCTGTTCAAGTACGCCACCTGTCTACATTATTCACATTTTGCTAGTCACGCGAATAATATTTTATTTTTAGTAATTTTTAAATAATTAAATATCGATATATATGTTTACTCCTAAATTTATTCCTTAATTTTCGGAGATTTTTCGTGAATTTAGATTGTCATTTTATTTAATGGTACATAATTACGTAG